TTGTTGTTCGAATCGTTGGTAGGAAAAAATCACGAGAATCATTTACACGGTTTCGCGCGAAAAGCCAAAAAAAAAAAACACTACATGCCATTTTCAGCTGTTTGAATATGCTTTTTGCTCTTTATAATAACCTAGTACCTTAAACTTGTACCTTGCAGCTCCCAGTTCATGCAGAACATTCTAATAGTCTATTTTGAAAATAGCACCAGTAACTCATGTAATATTCGGTTGTCTTAGTTTTACCTGATTTTTAATGATATGACTATCATTCAGTCCTTTATATGGTTGCGACTTAGAGCGATTTTACTTGACCCATGAAACATTTAATAACAACTACTGCAAAATATAGCTACAAATAAACAAAAGAAGACAATAGAATTAGTGCATAATAGTGCTTAGTATTCTACTTCCTGTTTCATGCGTTAAGTAAAATCACTCTGAAGGAGGTTGCAAATTTAGAGATGAGAAAATTTTGGATAGTTGACACTTAATCTTAATTTACCTGCCTGACAGGCATAATTTCTGAGCAAGGTATTGTACATCAAATGTTTAGTTTTTTATTATATATTGTCTATTTTTTTTACCTTCCTTTACATTAATTTTCAGAAAGTTTTAAAGGGGATGAAAGGAGAGCTTGTAATAGACATCACTGGGGATGCGAAGGATACAGGAGCAAAAGGAAAATTTAATTCAGCTGAAGAAAACTTGAAATGAAAATAAAAATATGAAACCGTGATGTTAATATTGAATTTCTTAGATTTCATCAAACAAAACGTTATTGATTTTATAAGGAAATTAGATTGATTTCCTAACAAGCCATATTTCTGAACACTAATGTGAAATTTGTTAAGAGAAATTTTTTAAACCTGATAACAACTACTTCTTGTCTTGTAAAAGAAATGGGAATGGAAATGGGTTGGGGAAACAAATTCAAGACCAACTTAAGACCTTTTTCCACTTAATTTGGTGCCATAATGGTACCATTGGCTGGGCCAGCTACATTGCCATTTTCAGCTGTTTGAATATGCTTTTTGCTCTTTATAATACCCTAGTGCCTTGAACTTGTATCTTGCAGCTGCTAGTTTATGCAGAACATTCTAATATTGTCTATTTTGAAAATAGCACCAAAAACTCATGTAATATTCTTTTTAAACTTATGACTCACTGGAAGACCACTGCTGCGAAAGTGGTTCGAGATAAAAAGAGAAAACAGAAAAAAAAGGAAAGCACTTAATTTGAGTGTCAATGTATTCAGCACGAAAGTAATAATTGGGGACACTATTTTTATGTCTACTACCGCCATTTTACGTGGTCATGCATCTGAGCCACGCAAAGGTCTAGCCATTTGCAGCAGGGCAAAGGTAATACCTTCACTTCTCAGTCATTTTAAGATCCTGAGTATTGGTCCGACCCCAGGAATTGAACTTCTGACCTCCCACTCTGCAGTCAAGCACTCTACCAACTGAGCTAATCCCACCACGGTTGAGATTAAGTTTACATAAGATAGTAGTACAGTGGAACATAGATATGGGGTCGTGCAACATCAACAACAATAGAATCAGACATTGATAGAATCAGAAAGAAAGCTTGACTGAAAGTTTTCAACAGTCCCCAAAGGATCATCTCATTTAAATGGTGGGTAGATACAGTGGTTGAAGGTAACTTGGATATAGAATTAAATTTTATTCATGCTAAATGCTTTAAAAGCATGGACACAAAGTGTTTTACATCTGATGCCGTTTCAGGATATTTGAACGCTCCTGATGTTACTCAGTATGTTGTAAACTACCCCTATAGCTTGTATCTGCCACATTGAGGCGTATTCAAAAGGCTGACAGCACTTTATGACTTCTGTTTTGTATATTTAATGGACAAAAGCAGCGTCTATGAGTTGATCCACTATCGTTTAGGACGACACCTAGGCTAAGTCTCTCTCGAATTGCAATGCCCGCAGTGCTGCTATTCGATTAACAAGTTTTTCATCCGCTAGATAATATGCTGAGTACAGAGCTAACTCGATGACACATCTTTCACGAACTTCAACATGGTTTAACTCATAACCCAACCTCGTCCCCAGGGTCTTCTCGCTTTCCAATATGGCGGCGGCAGGAGAGAAGACCCTGGCACACAGCGAACTAAAACGATCGCTGATTGGTGCATTCCATTGCGCGATCATACGTTCGCTCTCATTGGTTTATTCCTTCCAAAACAAAAATGGTGGCTACCTGGGTTCTTCGTGGAAACTGAGAACAGTGTCTGAGGCTTAAGAAGTGGAAAGGATGCCTGTTTGGTCTTCTTTTAAACGCTGCTGTACAGTTAGAAGTAACTGAAAAGCAGTAAGCAACATTTAAGGACAGATCGCCGATAATTCACGCTTCTCCGTGGTGATCATGTTCCTCAATTCGACTACTCAGCTGCCGGCAGTACAGTTAGAACTGATTCTGCTTCTTCTTCTTTTAAGACTTCGGGACTGGTAATCGCTGCTCTTGCATATATTGTAAGTACAGTAGAACTCCAATAACACGAACTCGGATAACTCGAACTTCCTGTCCTATTTCCCTTCGATTTCACCTCACTTTTCAGTCATTTTTACTCGGTCAACTCGAACTCGGATACCTCGATTTTCCCGCAAACTGGAACTAAATTTCCTTTCCCTTGATCAAAAATTCACTGAAATTTACCCCGATAACTCGAGCTCTGATTCTTGTAACTCCACGTGGATGCCATCCCATTAGCTCCTCTAATAAGTTTAATTTACAGTGCCCTAAACACTGAAGTGCTAAAAAATAACCAACTATCAATTTTTAATGTGGCAAATTGAATTGTGCCATCAACCCCGTTAACTTGAAACCTCGCTATGTCAAATTGTTTTTCGTTTCACCTGTAGAGTTCGAGTTACCAGGCTCTACTGTATTTCCTTTTTTTCTATCTGTTTTTGCTCTTAAAATTAATATCAGGTGCAATTTAATTTGTTTTAAGCTCATATGTCATCATATACAAACTTGCAAGACATGCCTTAAATGAGGCACACCCACATTTTATTCCCTCCCTGTTACACATGACCTTTGCTTCTCTGGATCTGTGTCCCAGATTCTTGTAACTGGTTTTTATTTTGTTGATAAAATCGGAATTTTGAGTTTTAAGATTAAAGCCACACGAATGATATGTACCATAAAGTGTTGTTTGGGATTTTACTGACTTTTTATTCAGATGTTGACATCTTCAGGGTTATTAATAGTTTAACATCTGTCTTGCCACTATTTTGTAAATCTAATCTAACTTCAATGGGAAAATGACTCAAAGTAGAGTTTTTCTGGATTAACAACACGCAAATTAATGGATAGATGCACTTAGGATTTTGTTTTTTAGCTTCCAGAAGAAATGATTAGGGTAATTCTCTTGTATATACAAGCTTAAAATGGTGAACCCAGCTAAATGTCCTTCCATTTTTTAAGCTTTGGTTGTAACTTTTAACATAATTTCCTTCTACAATACAAAAACTTACAGTAAGCTTTCATTATTTCTTGGGGTTTGGTGTACCAAAGAAAATTCCTAGCTGTGTAAAACGGGGAAGATTGGTCATATAAATTGAAACAGTTATGTGAAATTAGTTCCTCATAAATTCTTGTGGGAAAATCATTATTGCTGTCACCAAATGGAAAGTGGAATGACTGAAATGAGGTCCAGGGGGCTAAGGTGTTTTAGGGAATCCGTGAGCAGAATAGCAGTGAGTATTACCTAAGCCAGCTAGTCATGATCACTGGTTGTAATTTAGGTCTAGTTAAAAGGGATAAAAAGCTTACCATCTGGCACTTTTTGTTCAAACAATGGATAATTCCATCCATCCCTGGCATAAATCTACACCCACTGAATAATGCAATGGTCGTAGCATTTCCCTGGGGGAGGGGGGAACTCCCAATGATGGCCTATATATATATGGGTAGGCTCTGCCGGAAAGGGCTATCTTTTTCAGGCTTCAGGTATAGCAAAAGGGTAGGGCTTCAACTAGTTGAAGTATATTAAAGGGTAGTAAATGTGTGATTTGGGTCTGTAAAAGTGCCCAAAAGGACTAACAGATGAATTTATGGCCAAAAAAAGTTGAGAAAATGTTCTATTTTGATTGATTCCTTTTTAAAAGACAGTGCATTTACAGCAGTTAAAAGGGATGCAAAGATCTAAACAAGGTATGTTAAAGGGGTACCATTTGTCACAATAGAAGGTATGTGAAAGGGTTGCCTTTTACATGAAAAATGGTACATAAAAGGGTAAGGGGTTGGACCTCGGGGCAGAGCCTCACCATATAAACATTTGTTGAGTAGCCCCCCTCCCCCCAAGCATTTTATGAATAAAGTGCTATTTACTAGCTAACGTTTGAACAATTGGGACCTGGATAGTAAATGTACCCCTTTTCCCTAAGTCAAGTTTCATTAAAGGAAGCAAATCACCATGCCAGTGAGCAACAGGGGAATACTATGGATTTCAAGTGACGAGATGATCCAATGGGGGCAAAAATCAACCCCCCCCCTCCCATCCTCCTAATATATATTTTTTCTCACCATGAACGTTTACATTGTTTTGATACCGTAAAATCTCCCTACTTTAATCAAGCCACCCAGAAAAATTCTTTGATCGATCATCCTTAAGCTTGTCTCTTGAAATTTGAAGTACTCCTCCTGGGACCAGTGACACGTTGGGCTAAATTCCATCTAGGTTAAATCTCTTCAGATTACGATAATTTTCGATTTTAAGTGTGAAATGCAGTACGAGAGAGTGTTTACCATAAAGTAAGGACGTTTGCTTAGTTGTCAGAAATGGCAAAGGACAAGCCCCTGATTCCTAATGAAAATTTCTCTATAAGTCGATCAGATCTGTTTGCCAGACTAGTGTTTCTCTATAAATTCTCTGCAAAGCAGTGTTGGTTTTTTGTTGAAAACGTTTGAAAAATATTCTCCTGCATATTTCAAAATCAGACCAGCTAGTCCTCACTTTTTGTAAGCGCTCTAAGACTCGTCACACACGCTTTTTATCACTTGCAAAACGACCTCTGCGTGTGATCTCTCCCATATCTGAAAAGAGGAAAAAATTTCTTCTGTTGAGGATAAAAATTCGCACTTTGAGACAACATTGTCAATGAGTTTAACTGTGAAACCAGTGCACGAATCAATATCACCAAACCTCCTGCGGTTTGCGCCAAGGTGGAGGCGATATTTTAATAAATGCTTACGGATCTCTTTTTCGCTCCTCCTCAGATACCCTTCTCACAGCGTCTTGATCTTGCTCAGGGACTTCTTAAGATGGGTGACATGTGCTTCTTTAGGGTGCTGTTGCTCGCTGTTACTGCAATTGGAACAACAAAGTTGCCCGGGTATTGGTTGGCGACTTGAACGTGTTGAACCTAAGTAAGTTAGAACATAATCCCTCAAACAGCTGTTGGTAAGCTTGCAATAGGTCCGCATTTCGTCCGTCATCCCAGGTTTGTTGGAAGCTATGTCACTACCATTGTAATAGAGTGTTGCTCTGGCAGGTTGGTTGTCCCGACCCGCTCGTCCAATTTCTTGGTAGTATGACTCTACAGTCCGAGGAACATCTAAATGAATAACATGTCTTACTTTAGGAATGTTTACACCAATTCCAATTGCTACTGTGGCAAAGACAACACGAATTTTGCAAACTTCCGTCGCGGTTAGCTGCTTAAGAATTTCATCTTTCATTAGGTCTGTCTGTGGCGCATGGTACTGCGCAAACAGGCAGTTTTCGGGTTTTTGTCCACGCTTATCGGATAGAAACTCTGCTCACCGAGCACGGTAAGAAATAACTTGAAAGCATACCCGCACCATTTCAAGGGCAAGTAGATGATGGTAAGGGGGTAGTTGATTAATTTCATCCTTAGTTCCTCAGCAATGGGTACCAAAATGTCGTTGTAACTGTCTACTCCAAATGATGAGGGCCTTCTCTTTTTTTTTACAAATAAAAATGTTACTTCTGTCTAAATTTCCCACGAGTACCATCGGATTCCTGAGTTGAAGATTCACTTTCAGATATTTTACAAGTTCTTTGGGGGCAGTAGCCGTTAACGCCAGAATAGGTGCGGTCGGAAACAGTGACCCAAGTTGGGCTAACTTTCCAAAATCAGGGCGGAACTCTGAGCCCCATTCCTTTATCAGGTGAGCTTCGTCAATGACACAAAATGCGACGCGATTTTGGTATAAATCTGACTGAAGGACTTTTCTACCATCTTTACACGATATAAAAGCCTCTGGATGAGTAAATAAAAGCTTAAATTCTCCTTCCTGGACACATTTGAATAGTTCAGGCTCGCTGATACAGTAGTTGGGCTTTTTTTCCGATACCACAGAAACTTCATTTTCATCCTCTGACCCACTGTCGTCATTCTGAGAATTAGCGGCATTAATTTTTTCTGCACGAGATGTACGTAGCACACCAGCCTTAATTCCTCTTTCCTTCAAACTATTGACTTGGTCCTCAATAAGTGCATTCAAGGGCGAAATGACAATGACAATGCTCGTTTCTCGTTTATCATTGCACATGTAGTCCCACATGTAAGGAAGAAGGTGAAAAATTACCGACTTCCCATAACCCGTCGGAAGGACTCCAATAACATGTTGCCGTAACATACAAGCTTCAAGGATCTTAAACTGTTTGACTTTCAAAAATACGCTGTCGTAACTAGTAACATCTAAAGCGTACCTCACAGCTTGAAAAAAAGGAATTCAAGGTAAGCTTCATCTCTCAAACTCAAAGTCTAAAACTCCCGTAGATACTGAGCACAAAGCAGCTGAGTCAACCAAAGCACTCGCGATCCGTCCTTTGAAAAAGACGTGCTGATCAAGTTACTTATTTTTAATTATAAGCAAAACTCGTAAGGATAAGAAATTTTCCTGTGAGAAAATTTTGTCGCTTTTAGAGAACGTGTCTTTGAAAAAGCAATTTCTAAGAGATCTGTATGTAGATAAGATACGTAACAAGATTCAATTCTGGCTTGCCTGAATAATCCCATGAGAAGCGTGCCTTAAATGGCATGGGGCGCGAAATGCGCAGGTAAAAGGCAGTGACTCTCTTAAGTATCTCAGTTTCCGAACATGTCCACTACACCTCAGAAAGTCTACTCAGACTTTGGAGAAAACATTTGTAGATTTTGTGGAGGTGCGAAAGACCATTGTACCAATATTTTTGGCATAAGTGGGGAGAGGAAAAAAATAGGCGACAAAGCATTTGAGGTTTTAAATATTTCCATCAAAGAAGAGGATGGTTTGCCACACAAAATCTGCCGCCCATGCGAAGGAGCACTGAATCGGTTCTCCGAGTTCAAAAAAATGGTTATCGACACACAAAACCAGCTGAAATCAAAAGTAATAACAAAGAGGTGCAAAGTCTTCTCACCTGCTGCTTCTGAGCCGGAGAAAAAATCGCGAGTGATGGAAAAAAACCCACCTAGCGCTCGATCTCTTCCCTTTAAAGCCCAAAAAGCTTCCCAAAAAGCCCTAGAAAAGCCTGTCTCCGAAGTTGACTCTGGAGAGAAATGTGGTTATACTATATTATCGCAAGCCGGCCTAAAAAATCCCGAGGTACGTTGACTCGTTCTGTAGAAATAACATTAGACCAATCAGCTATGCAATTCATTACACTTCATTTTCACTTGGATGGTAAAACAAAAAAATTAAAGCTACGGTTCCATGAATTTCACTCTTTGATCAACCTGTAAGTAAATGATTGACGAAGACTACCAGCAGTCTCTCCTTTTCCCAATTTCCTTAGTTCGTCGAGCGAAAGGCGCGTGAAACGAAAATGACCACGCGCGTCGTCAACGCGCGCACTTCCCTCACCTTGAAATCTGAAGAAAAAAGAGAAAACTGCTCGCGGTCTATGATGTAAAAATGATTACATTTTTTTTGTTTTGTAATAATACCAAAAATTTGAAAATAAGAAATTTCTGAAAAAAAAAACAAACAAACAAACAAAGACTTTAGACTCGGGCAAAAATATTATTCATGTGGCAAGTTTGCCAGTATATTGCATCCAAAAACAGGGCGTTCATTTGTTATTACTATTTTAACAAATTATCATTATCATCATCATCATTGTTGTTATCGTCCTTGTCATCATCATCGTTATTAACAAAAGCACATAGTCTTGGTCATTCTCTATGCTCATGAGATGCATTTAGGGGTCCATCCACCGGGACCCTCCCATCCCTGAAGACCGGGGTGGGGGTACTTTAGGAATTTGTGGGTGGGGATGTGTCACTGGGATCCTGGAACCCTTAACCTATACTAGAGCTAGTTCAGCTGAATTTTGCTACCCTATACTAGTGTAAACTCCCCAAATACCCTCTATCCTAGAGTAGCTGTTTACCAGAAACTACTGAGGTCACTACCAGGGTCTAGCCAAAACAAAACCTTATACCACAATCCCTAGTCTGGATAAAATCTTCAACCAACTGACCAGTTTTCCTGAAAAATGATACCCTATTCTAGACCCAAACGCTCTGATTTATATACCCTATTCTAGAGTAAACTGCTTAAGAACCATACCCTTCACCCCGGCACATACCTATATAGACCATATATGGCAGTACCTCCCCGGGCCCTGAAGCCTGCAATGCTTTCAGACATTTCATGTTAATATCATACAGAAAACTAAAGTTTGATATCAAAATAGACTTAGTGTTTTATTAGTACTCAAAAACGTGCCCTTTGTTTTGCCTTTTTTTTAAATGGGTAAGTGTTAAAAAGTGGACTCAACCTTAGAATCAAAACAAACTGTTAAGCCCCAATATAGACATGCAAATTCTCTGATCTTCATAATCTTATATTTCCTTAAGGAATTACTTGAGAGAATTTAATTAAATCTTGTCATTTAATTAAATCTTGTCACCTAAAAAATATGTTAAATTGTTAGGAGAAAATTGATGTTGAAGAATCTTGAGTTTAAGCAAAAACTCTTCATCTACCTACTAGATTACCAAATCAGCTGCCCATGTTCTGGAAACAGACATAGTACGAAAGCTGACCAATGCAGTGAGAACTGGGGTGCCCTCTGTGGTTGTGGATGTTATGTACAGTGTGCCATCATTGAAGACAATCTTCAAGGTAAATATTTTACAAGAACTGAATGAAAAATGTACTGAACTGTGCAAGAAGAATACACCATCAGTTCTCAGGAAAAACCAATATCCTGACATGGCGGGCTTTGATTGGAATTCTATTCTTAATGAAATTTCACAAAGATGTCCACTCTTGCTTGATGTCATGACAACAACTATTGGATCAAAACTGAAACCCAACACCATCCCTTCAATTTGCTTATGCTACGGTATACTAATGCAGAAGCGGAACCATGACCTAAGCCTAATTCAGAGAATCAATACTATTTTACTTGCAGAAGGAAATGCTAAGAAGCAGGTTGGTTGAAAAAGAACACTTTATACCAGTAATTACATGTAAAATTATTATTTTTTTTCACTCACACAATCAAACTTGAGGCTGTGTAATATAGTTCTAACTCAGCCATGTTTGTATACAGATTTTAAGTAAATGATTTAAATGACATCAGTCTGAGCTAAGAGGTAATTCTTGTAACGGTACGCTTTACATTACGCATACAAAACATGGGAATTTTAGCAATGACATTGACTAATACCGTAATCATTTGATTTAGCGCCTGGGCCGCTTATTAATGTTTGGTAAATTCAAGACAGGGCACTCATTTTTTTGAGAACAACTGAATGTTCCAAAAAAACTTTAAGACTTATTTAAAAAGGGACAATAACAGAAACTGTACTTCTCTTTGTAACAGTACTAAATATATGGTCAATGTTCAGTTACCGTGAGAAACTCAGACAAATGGGGGGTACTTATTGGAAGGAGGGCGCTAAATCGAATCACTTGGAAAAGAATAGTTCAAGTGCTCTTGATCTGGTGCAGATCAGAGGAACTGCATTATTTATCTTCATAATAAGGAAAGTAAAGAGAGTAAATCTTAGGTTTGGTCAATATTATGGTACATAAAAATTTTTAAAAAAATCTTTCTGACAAGGGCAAAAAGAGTCAATTCTTGTGCCATGATTACAAAAAAAATTCTAACCACATTGATCCGGTTTGATAGCTTATCAACAGATGTCAAAGTCTTGGATTTTGCCTAGGGCACACAAGCAAACTGAAACTCATGAAGTTAATTGGCGGACACTTTGCAGACAAAATAATTGATGAAGTAAAGCAAGGGAACAAGCTGCAGGGTACAGGTGACAACTGGGACATCAGGGTTCTTGTCCATGACATGAGAAGTGACCATCAGAACAAAGATCTGCACTACTTTGCCTCCAACTTAATTGTAGACAGGGTGCCATGTGAAGGCCTGTGTCAGGTCTACCCTCGTCGTAACATTCAGACACTTCCCAACTGCCATTTCCTGTTGAATGATGCAGAAACAGACAAGCTAAGAGAAGATTTTAAGGTCCTGGTGGGTAGAGTACTTGTGGCTCACATTCCATCACTGTCTTTCTTGAAAGCAGTTATTCCCCAACACATAGCCCATCGCTACACCAATGAAATGGCAAAGAAATCTGCTATTGTCAGTCTACCAACCCAGCTGAAGGATGAAAAAAAATATGATGATGTTGTTGACATTCTGTGCTTCTATGAAAATACCTTAGAGGAGATTTACAGCAAGGCGGGCGTTATAAACGTGCCAAGAAATACAGCACAAGCTATGCCAAATGGAAGTCTGGAAGGTATGCAATCAGCACCAGATCAGCCTGGAGCGCACATTACCAGACATGATGATGATGACCATATGAAAGATGTATGTGTTCCTTTTGGGGGAGACCAGTTAACCAGGGTGCGCTTTGCTGGGGCAAAAGATCTCAGAAAGGGCTGTCACACTGCAAAAGACAGATTTGAACATTGTAGTCCATTTGTTGTAGAACCATTCCATACCAAGATGTCCTATCTGCAGGTACCTACAAAGAAAATATGTTTTTGTCATACAAATAAAATATTGACTTTTAAATGGTCATAATTTAGAACAATAATGCTAACTCAAACTCAAATGACATATGGTAAATTAAGTTCAAGTTTGGGGTTAATCAGTCCAATTTGCAAGTCATATTTGGTACACATACAAGTAGAACAATATTCTTAAGTTCTGCACAAACTGTGAATTTGGTTATACATGGACTTCCATTTTGCTTGTCATGCAAATTTTATCTGGGTTAAAGTATTTCTTGACCACATTAGTTCCTAAAGAGTGTTTTTAATATTGAAAATAATGTGCATGCACATATCCTACATTTCAGCTTAGTTAAAAGGGTTAAAATAAGGGCATAGTAAAATAATGGGTATAAAATTAGGCCAAATCGAAGGAAAATATATTTAATTTGTTCATATAAGTGGGAAGTTGACCAAGTCAGTTTAACCTTAGGTAAAATAAATAAGTCAGTACACAGTGTAAACCCACTGTAAGAACACAGAAACATTGTTGTTTGCATTGATGTGGTGAATATGAATGGTCTAGATATTTTGTTCGGGAATAATAATATTGTTATTATTATTTGAAACAATGGGATGCAAAATTATGAATATAAAGAGCAACAGGTCATAATGAGTTCAATAAAGTATATTAGATTGACATGTATTAGTAGAGTAAGTGTAGTTTAAGGAACATTATTTGGCATAAATAACAGTGGGTGACTTACCATATTGATACCTCTTTGTGCTAATATCCATTTGCAGCTTGTGTTTGATCATTTATACAAAGCCGAGTCTCTCAGAGAGGTTGGTACCCTCAAATATTTCCGTGAAAGGGTAAATCGCAAAAATGTTACCCCAGACAAAGTAACAAAGTCATTCGAAGGAACTGAAGATTTCTTTGTAAGTGTTGGAACAGCATACATCCTGGAGGCAGCCATGGAGTTTTTTGGTTTGAACGAAGTAAATGGCACTCCTACAAAACATGTTCCTCCAGCCGGCATCTTGCATCTCCCAAAATCCAGAAAGAAGACCTTCTTTGATGATGTTCTTGGTTCCTTTGTTGATGAATTTGTCATGGCAGATCCAGACCAAGATGCCGTGATGGAAGACCAGGAACTGCAACGAATATCTAGTCTTGTAGCTACGGTGGGCCATGACCATGACTATTTTGCTCCATCTCAAACCAATGGGGAACTACAAGACAACACTGATGATGATGTTACTGAGGAAGATACGAGTGGAACAGACAAAGTACGGTCAGTAAATTTCAAAAGAGAAACCCTTAATTAACAGGGTGCAAAGAAAGTCAGTTTTACAGCTTGCCATTCAGTCAAGCTGTAGCTAGAATCTACTTAAGCAGGCCCAAGAGTCACTGGATTTAAATCTGCTCCAATTTTTTTAAGAGCAAACTGATTGCAGTTTAAGTAAGAACACTTCTAGGGCTAGTGAAAATGACTCTTGGGCAAGAACATAGTAGCAACAGCTTTCCTGAATGGCATGCAGAGAACTGACTGTTTTTTCATCTGGCTCTCTTTGCATGCTGAGTTAACTTAATTTGTTTTTCCAATTATTTCATACAAAACCATATTTTTGCTTCTTTGTATACTAATTATTGTTTGATTTTTCCCACACATCATAGTTATAAAAACCAAAGAAACAATTCAGTGATACTCCAGTACAACCTTTCTGTTCCCAAGGCTAGGTTTTCCTCAAACAATGATAAATAAAATTTTCAAAGTTTACCACACTTAATGCTCCCATGAACATAAAAAGCTGTAAAAGCTAGCAGATGGTGTGATGACCTCCCTTTGATTATATCACTGCCACCATTTACACCTACACATTCAAGTATATACCATACCTAGGCATCATTTTTTTGTGCTCAGAATTTGGTCAATTCTGTTATCTTTCCTTTAGATATTATGGGCTTAACATCATCGAACTTGCAGTCTTTCTGATGCAGTTGACTGACACATGTGCAGAAGGTGATGGGGAAAGAAACAATATCAATCAAAAGCGCCTACTATCATACTTTTTCCGCTTCAATTCATTTTCTAAATATGCCATAGAAATGTTTACCAGCATTGCTCAAGTCGAAGCATTACTCTCTGAAGAAGTTGCACATCGAGTAACGTGGGGGAAGTTTGTCAACTGGACTGGGGGTTTAGGAAACAACATTGAAGGCGACAAAGCACAGGAGATTTGCAACTGCACAAGCAAAAATGTTGTGCAAGGAATGGGTCCAAACAAGACCAACAATGCCATCATCACTGCCTCCAAGGCAGCACCTGGGATTCACCAGATAAAAGGGCAGTTTGACAAGGTAACAAAGATTCACCCTTCATCCCGGGCACATACCACAAGAAGTGCTAAAGATGATGAAATGTTAATGTTGAAAGACTTACGCAAACTGCGTCCCTTTCGCATAACTCCTAACAGATGCCATGAACACTTTCAACAGATTACTTTATCTCCACTGGTTGGACAAGACATGGAAAAGTTTTTTTCATGGCTTGAAAAGCACAAGAAACAGATTGCCATGGGATAAGAAACATGGTCATCAAAGTACTCTAGCCTTTATGTTAAAAATCTCAACTGAACAATAACGCTGTCATTTTTTTTAAGTGGCAAAAATCTTATTGTCATACCTCTCCTGAAATATAGCACTCAAAAAAAACCATGAGGAGTGCACAGTAAAGGACTGGAAGTCTATGAACAAACTGTAACATTGGATTAACTAACTTAGTTAATGACTGTGGGCACCAAGAATTACGAGAGTGATATCCTTAGAAACTGTCTCAGGAGGAGTTGGTGAATTATTTTGGGGGTCCCTGCCAACTTTGCTACTTGAGCTTGTTAAAAGTTGTACATGTCAGTGTAAATGTAAGTAACTACTATTGGCCTGTTTACAATGTTGAGTCAGCCTGATTAGCCTAGCTGGCTGAAGATTTGTGCTGTGAAAGAAATTTTAACCAGAGAGTAGATTTTGGACTTTGCTGTACGATTGTGAAAATAACTATTTAAATAACAACCTTTTCACACATCCATTAAAAAAAGAAAACACACTTTTATTTACCACTTAGTGACCAAAAATGTGGAAGTGGTTGCAAACTATATGTTTAAAAGAAAGCAATTCCTAAAATGCCTAGCTTTCTTAGGTCGAGAGACCTTATCCTAACCGAAGAAAAACCTCAAAACCTCACGCTACGCCCCCTGCGAGTATAGGAAAAGTCAATATGTAGTAAGAAAAAGTCTAGTAAAATTCTTTATGTACATCTGTGACAAAACGGACGAACTCTAAACCCTTTTAAACTTATTTTTACCATTTTAGAGCCGACTATCGTGTAATCGTGTACCTGTACTACGCGAAAAAAGTTTAGGTTTACAATAAAGGAAAGTCAAAAAACAGCAAGAATAAATTTCTACATCATTTTACCATTTTCCTTTTGCTTTTACATGCATTCCTTCTTACTTTTAGCCTCTTTATTTAAGCGCACATCCGAGCCATACCAGTTTACCTTTGCCGCCATTTTGTTTGCTTTTCACCAGTCCCAAGAACTAGTACCCAGATCCTCTCACTCTTTATCTTGGCCGCCATTTTGAATAAATTTCCACTCTCCGTGGACAAATCGGTCACGTGATTTCTGCTGTGTGCCAGGGTCTTCTCTCCTGCCGCCGCCATATTGGAAAGCGAGAAGACCCTGGGGACGAGGTTGCTCATAACCGACAGGCAATGGAACACACTCCTGAGATGGGACGATTTGTTGCGCTGAATTAAATCCATATTTTTTGATACAATCAAAACTCGAAATTACTGACCTACGATAATAACAGGTGTACACGCGGAACGATTCCTTGAAGAAATTTCTCCAACATCTCTATGTATTTGATGGCAAACGTTTATTAAAGAATCCCAACCTATTTCCGACGCTTTTTTTCATTTCCTCAAGAATCTTGGCTGAAGTCGCATTCTTGGCTAGACGCCGCCATTTTGGATTTGCCATTATTTGCCAGGCGTCCTAGGCGAATTTTCCCGACAAGCTTGACAGGTGACGTCACATCCGAAATCGCCGAGGACGACTGGGAACGAGGCTGGGTGCTTCGTGCTTCCGTCTTCGTTTTCGAGTGCTTCGTTTTCGAAACTACCATATAGCCACAGCGTTCTGTTCATGTTCTGTTTGGTAAGGCAAAGGAAACTTTTGACCATCAAATGTTAGTACGACTACAGTGCTTTATACTTCCCCCGAAACTGGGAAAGTTTTAATTGTGTAATCCGGACTCCTGAAAAATTTTGCCCGCGGAATCTGCAATCCTGGGCTTTGAAATGCAGAATACCTTTAGCAACTTTTAGCAAGGAATCTCCCAAATCTCACTAACGGTTGGAATCCGGAATTGCACTGATAAAGACTGGAATCCAGTCCCTAAAATTCTCAATCACCGGCGTGCAATCCAAAATCCAAGACTGTTTTGGGATTCCTTTACATGGGGCGAAAATTGAAATCAAACCGGCTTTTTGCCCACAAACAACGTTTCATCAGTTCAATGAAAATGAAGCTAGAATCCCTCACAACATAATCCATCCCCTTCGGCTAGAAAGAAAAGAAACAGAGCAAGCGGCTTCTTAATCCCTTTGCGTTAACATTGTTTTGTATGTTTTGGCTGAAACAACGTTTTCTAATGTAAGCATGTCCCGAAATTGTGTCTCTAAATATACCTCTACAAAGACCCCTAAAAAAGTCAGATACACTTCAAATATTTCAAAATAAGAAGTCGCCATGGAAATACCTGCGTCGCATTTACGTCAGGTTTGTAAAATTCGAGGAATGTCACGCAAGCAACGGTCGCAGTTCGTTGGCGGATTTATGAAATTAACTATTGCAAGTTCATGGCGTTGTAAGTGTTTTTCGGGACCACTTTCCTCTGCAGAAGCCCCCATCCTGGCATCATTAAGCTAGAATGTGGGTAAAGGCAACCCTCTGAAAGAATACAGAGGTGAAAGGTGGTCTCGCGTTAACTGAGACGCCAAACATGCTTCGAAGCAAACATAATGGCGGTTCACGAGTGAAGTCTTCTCTCTGGCCGTTCTGAAGACGGATTCCAGGACCTACCAAAGAAATTCGGGCGACTTTTCAATTGTAAACAACACAACGAAGACAACATTTAGCTAATAGGACTGGGTGGCCCAACACTTATCAAAAAATCTTTGAAATGGGGATAGGAAGCGTTCTCCGCTCACAGTATGACTGAATCATTTACCGAGAATTCCTTTCGAGCACCAACGAGCCAAGTTAAAAAATGCGATACCGGCTAACGGGAAATGGCTGAAGCATGTCCAGCAAAAATAAGGAAAGAAAAAAATTGCAACTCGATACTAAAGTATGGCCTTGAGAATTGCCCTAAATGCAGACATTAATTTTAAAGCAGTTTTTTGGCTAAAAAATCTGTGAAGAAAAAGTGTAAAATTTGATCATAATTTTCAGCGCAAAAACTGGCTTTTGGGACTTCGCTGCCAAACGAACGAAAATATAAAGTGGAAATTGGGAGTTGCAGTCGGTTAGTATCATTTGATAATTGCAATATCTACCTACCCTTTAGAGCTGTAAATAAATGACTAAAAGGTTGTAACTAAAGTAAGACAACAAGCAAATAGTCCTGCAAGCCCACCATTTCAATGCAAAAAAAAATTATTGCCCCAAAAAAGTACCATATCGCCGAGCAAGGATTTCGAGTCAGCTTTGAAGTCAGGACGCGTGTCTGATTTTCCACGTACAATTCGTGTTCATTTTTTCTTTCGGAAACTCCTGTTACCGCTTGTAACCCTCTGTAACCCCTTGTAAGCCCCTGTAACCCCTTGTAACCTCCTGTAACCCCTTGTAACCCCTTGTAACCCCCTGTAACCCCTTGTAACCCCCTGTAACCCCTTGTAACCCCCTGTAACCCCCTGTAACCCCCTGTAACCCCCTGTAACCCCTTGTAACCCCCTGTAACCCCTTGTAACCCCCTGTAACCCCTTGTAACCCCCTGCAACCCGTTGCAACCCCCTAATAACCCATTGTAACCCCTTGCATTCCCTTGTAACCCCCTCGTAACCCTTTGTAACCCACTGTAGCCACACTATCCCTTGTAATCCCTTATAACTCTCTCACACTTTATAGGCCCATGTAACCTCTTGTAATCCATGTAAGAAAGCGGTGTACACGAAATATTTCGCTAGTAGGACTGGGTGGCCCAACACTTATAAAAAAATCTTTGAAATGGGGATAGGAAGCGTTCTCCGCTCACAGTATGACTGAATTACCCAGAATTCCTTTCGAGCACCAACGAGCCAAGTTAAAAAATGCGATACCGGCTCACGGGAAATGGCTGAAGCATGTCCAGCAAAAATTAGGAAAGAAAAAAATTGCAACTCGATACTAAAGTATGGCCTTGAGAATTGCCCTAAATGCAGACTTTAATTTTAAAGCAGTTTTTTGGCTAAAAAATCTGTAAAGAAAAAGTGTAAATTTTGATCATAATTTTCAGCGCAAAAACTGGCTTTCGGCACTTTTCTGCCAAACGAACGAAAGTATAAAGTGGAAATTAGGAGTTGCAGTCGGTTAGTATTATTTGATAATTGTAATATCTACCTACCCTTTAGAGCTATAAATAAATGACTAAAAGGTTGTAACTAAAGTAAGACAACAAGCAAATAGTCCTGCAAGCTCACCATTTCAATGCAAAAAATAATTATTGCCCCAAAAAAGTACCATATCGCCAAGCAAGGATTTCGAGTCAGCTTTTAAGTCAGGACGCGTGTGTGATTTTCCACCTACAATTCGTGTTCATTTTTTCTTTCGGAAACTCCTGTTACCGCTTGTAACCCTCTGTAACCCCTTGTAAGCCCTTGTAACCCCTTGTAACCCCCTGTAACCCCTTGTAACCCCCTGTAACCCCTTGTAACCCCTTGTAACCCCCTGTAACCCCCTGGAACCCCTTGTAACCCCCTGTAACCCCTTGTAACCTTCTGTAACCCCCTCTAACCCCCTGTAACCTCTTGTAACCCCTTGGAACCCCCTGTGACCCCTCGTAACCCCTTGTAACCGCCTGTAACCAGCTGCAATCCCCGGTAACCCATTGTAACCCCTTGCATTCCCTTGTAACCCCTTCGTAGCCCTTTGTAACCCACTGTAGCCACACTATCCCTTGTAATCCCTTATAACTCTCTCACACTTTATAGGCCCATGTAACCTCTTGTAATCCATGTAAGAAAGCGGTGTACACGAAATATTTCGCTAGTAGGACTGGGTGGCCAGACACTGAGAAAAAAATCTTTGAAATGGGGATAGGAAGCGTTCTCCGCTCACAGTATGACTGAATTACCCAGAATTCCTTTCGAGCACCAACGAGCCAAGTTAAAAAATGCGATACCGGCTGACGGGAAATGGCTGAAGCATGTCCAGCAAAAATAAGGAAAGAAAAAAATTGCAACTCGATACTAAAGTATGGCCTTGAGAATTGCCCTAAATGCAGACTTTAATTTTAAAGTAGTTTTTTGGCTAAAAAATCTGTGAAGAAAAAGTGTAAATTTTGATCATAATTTTCAGCGCAAAAACTGGCTTTCGGCACTTTTCTGCCAAACGAACGAAAATATAAAGTGGAAATTGGGAGTTGCAGTCGGTTAGTATCATTTGATAATTGCAATATCTACCTACCCTTTAGAGCTGTAAATAAATGACTAAAAGGTTGTAACTAAAGTAAGACAACAAGCAAATAGTCCTGCAAGCCCACCATTTCAATGCAAAAAAAAATTATTGCCCAAAAAAAGTACCATATCGCCAAGCAAAAATTTCGAGTCAGCTTTTAAGTCAGGTCGCGTGTCTGATTTTCCACGTACAATTCGTGTTCATTTTTTCTTTCGGAAACTCCTGTTACCGCTTGTAACCCTCTGTAACCCCTTGTAAGCCCCTGTAACCCCTCGTAACCCCTTGTAACCCCTTGTAACCCCTTGTAACCCCTTGTAACCCCTTGTAACCCCTTGTAACCCCCTGTAACCCCTTGTAACCCCTTGTAACCCCCTGTAACCCCTTGTAACCCCCTGTAACCCCTTGTAACCCCCTGTAACCCCTTGTAACCCCTTGTAACCCCTTGTAACCCCTTGTAACCCCTTGTAACCCCTTGTAACCCCTTGTAACCCCCTGTAACCCCTTGTAACCCCTTGTAACCCCCTGTAACCCCTTGTAACCTCCTGTAACCCCTTGTAACCCCCTGTAACCCTTTGTAACCCCCTGTAACCCCTTGTAACCCCCTGTAACCCCTTGTAACCCCCTGTAACCCCTTGTAACCCCTTGTAACCCCCTGTAACCCCTTGTAACCCCTTGTAACCCCCTGTAACCCCTTGTAACCCCCTGTAACCCCTTGTAACCCTGGTAACCCCTTGTAACCCCCTGTTACTCCTTTTAACCCTTTGTAACCCCCTGTAACCCCTTGTAACTCCCTGTAACCCCCTGTAACCCCTTGTAACCTTTTGTAACCTCTTGTAACCCCTTGTAACCCCCTGTAACCCCTTGTAACCTCCTGTAACCCCTGGTAACCCCTTGTAACCCCCTGTTACCCCTTGTAACCCTTTGTAACCCCCTGTAACCCCTTGTAACCCCTTGTAACCGCCTGTAACCCCTTGTAACCCCTTGTAACCTCGTGTAACCCCTTATAACCCCTTGTAACCCCTTGTAACCCCCTGTAACCCCTTGTAACCCCTTGTAACCCCTTGTAACCCATTGTAACCCCCTCTAATCCTCTGTAACCCCTTGTGATCCCCGGTAACCCCTTTTAACCCCTTGTAACCCCTCGTAACCCCCTGTAACCCCTTGTAACCCCCTGTAGCCCGTTGCAACCCCCGGTAACCCATTGTAACCCCTTGCATTCCCTTGTAACCCCCTCGTAACCCTTTGTAACCCACTGTAGCCACACTATCCCTTGTAATCCCTTATAACTCTCTCACACTTTATAGCCCATGTAACCTCTTGTAATCCATGTAAGAAAGCGGTGTACACGAAATATTTCACTAGTAGGACTGGGTGGCCCAACACTTATAAAAAAATCTTTGAAATGGGGATAGGAAGCGTTTTTCGCTCACAGTATGACTGAATTACCTAGAATTCCTTTCGAGCACCAACGAGCCAAGTTAAAAAATGCGATACCGGCTCACAGGAAATGGCTGAAGCATGTCAAGCAAAAATAAGGAAAGAAAAAAATTGCAACTCGATACTAAAGTATGGCCTTGAGAATTGCCCTAAATGGAGACTTTAGTTTTAAGGGAGTTTTTTGGCTAAAAAATCTGTGAAGAAAAAGTGTGAATTTTGATCATAATTTCAGCGCAAAAACTGGCTTTTGGCACTTTGCTGCCAAACAAACGAAAATATAAAGTTGAAATTAGGAGTTGCAGTCGGTTAGTATCCTTTGATAATTGCAATATCTACCTACCCTTTAGAGCTATAAATAAATGACTAAAAGGTTGTAACTAAAGTAAGACAACAAGCAAATAGTCCTACAAGCCCACCATTTCAATGCAAAAAAAAATTATTGCCCAAAAAAAGGACCATATCGCCAAGGAAGGATTTGGAGTCAGCTCTTAAGTCAGGACGCGTGTCTGATTTTCCACGTACAATTCGTGTTCATTTTTTCTTTCGTAAACTTTTGTTACCGCTTGTAACCCTCTGTAACCCCTTGTAAGCCCCTGTAACCCCTCGTAACCTCCTGTAACCCCTTGTAACCCCCTGTAACCGCTTGTAACCCCTTATAACCCCCTGTAACCCCCTTGTAAGCCCCTCCTAACCCTTTGTAACCCACTGTAGCCACACTATCCCTTGTAATCCCTTATAACTCTCTCACACTTTATAGGCCCATGTAACCTCTTGTAATCCATGTAAGAAAGCGGTGTACACGAAATATTTCGCTAGTGGGACTGGGTGGCCCAACACTTATAAAAAAATCTTTGAAATGGGGATTGGAAGGGTTCTCCGCTCACAGTATGACTGAATTACCCAGAATTCTTTTCGAGCACCAACGAGCCAAGTTAAAAAACGCGATACCGTTTCACGGGAAATGGCTGAGGCATGTCCAGCAAAAATAAGGAGAGAAAAAAATTGCAACTCGATACTAAAGTATGGCCTTGAGAATTGCCCTTAATCACAGGAAAAAATAACGGATTCCTATTTGTGGATATTTTAGGGTATTTAAAGAATACCCATAAAAAGCCCAAATTTGGCAAAGTGAGACAAGTCCCAACCAGGGAATTCCCAACTAAGTTCCCAGATTGGGACTTGTCTCACTCTTCCAAATTCGGGATTGTTATGGGTATTCTTTAAATACCCTAAAATATCCAAAAATGGGAATCCGTTATTTTTTCCTGTGAATGTAGACTTTCAATTTTAAAGCAGTTTTTTGCCTAAAAAATCTGTGAAGAAAAAGTGTAAATTTTGATCATAATTTTCAGCGCAAAAACTGGGGTTTGGCACTTTGCTGCCAAACGAACGAAAATATAAAGTGGAAATTGGGAATTGCAGTCGGTTAGTATCTTTTGATAATTGTAATATCTACCTACCATTTAGAGCTATAAATAAATGACTAAAACGTTGTAACTAAAGTAAGACAACAAGCAAATAGTCCCGCGAGCCCACCATTCAATGCAAAACAAAATTATTGCAAAAAAAGTACCATATCGCCAAGCAAGGATTTTGAGTCGGCTTTTTAGTCAGGACGCGTGTCGGATTTTCCACGTATAATTCGTGTTCATTTTTTCTTTGGGAGACCCTGTTACCGCTTGTAACCCTCTGTAACCCCTTGTAACCCCCTGTAACCCCCTGTTTCTATTTATATTCACGACTAAGAGACGGGAAAGGGTGTGCAGCTCGAACTTAGGAGCCTGAGTGTTTAATGCCGTCCAAATATCATACAAAGTTCAACATCATAACTAAAGAATGGTATACAAATATTCCTAAATAAAGTCACTCGGGCTAAACTATTCACGTGCGCCGCCTGATACGAAAACCCAAAAACCCAATGGGAAAAAAAATTGGGAACGTATTCCCCAACCGATGCTGTCGCACAACCTCTGGGGGTTAAAGGTAAAAAATCAATCTATAGACGAATAAAGTGAGATATAAAAATAAAAGTTGATAGTTCGAGAGCTGAGATGAATACATTACAACTGTCAAAACCTTATATACCTAATAACAATAGAGTCAATTAACGCCATAGCGGCTCACGTGCGTTCATACCAATAGGAAAGTATTTACATTCTCTGTCACTGCCACTACGTTTAGCTCCGCCGAATGTAAATACATTTCTCTGTGGAGCCTTAACGTTCGTGCCTGTCAAGGCGATTGCTGAGGATGTAAGGTCAAAAGTTCGAAATGAATGGGCACACTGCGAATTCACAGCATGGACTGAGGCACACTACGAAACTTGCTTTGATCTCGTGGAGAGCCTGGTCAAGAACCTGGGATTCGTGAACTCCGAGGAGGATCTTTAGTTGCGGAAAAATCATGGTACGTTTTGTTACTGTATACTTTACGCCTTAATGATACTTATACTTTTGTGAGAAATGACTACCTAATAGAATTAAAGCGCACAATAAGTAAAACAAAGGCCAGGCCATTCTGACACTGATTTTCCCCTAACAGAGAAGGGAAATCATCTAAGAAAGTAAACTATTTCTCCGTTTTTTTTTTAATTTAATGCTTTATTAACAACACAGGAAGTACAAAATATTTTCATATATGAATTGACAAGAAAAAGGTTACATAATTAATACATTGCTGACATAATTACATTAAGTAAACTAGTTATCTAATGCTGATTGTTAAGCCTATTCTTATCGTAGACGCGGAAAAAAAAAAGAAACAAAACACAGCAGAGGCATTTCTCTTGTTTTCTATGCGATACCGCATAGAATGCAGATCATAAAAAACAAGAGATGTTTCCCAGTTAATAGATGCCCGCACAGGGGTGGCTACCTATTTTTGTCTTGTTTGTTAGGAAGCTAGTTTCGCTGTTTGTTAGAAGTTCCCAGTCCCCGCCGCGTAGCACCGTATGCAGCGAAGTAAAATGGCGGCCGAAATTTTATCCCAGAACTTTTTGAGCGCTAACAAAGTGAGAGTATATGATTCTTTCTGGACACGCAAAAGGAAATGGCGGTTAACTTTGTTATAGAATTTCTTAGTACTCTTGAGTCTGCGACCTCTTGGTTAGATATTTGACGGTGTTATGTATGAGGACAGCATGATAAACCAAATTTCCTTGAGCTTAATGACAGTGTAAAGTCAACGTAAAGTTTTAATTTACACAACTTTACGCCTCTTTTACTCAACGTAAAGTTCAGCTTTACTACACCTTTACGCGTCCATGTAAAACTGGCGAAATGAAACAACATTTACGCAAACCTTTAAGTTTAGCGTAAAGCATGTGTAAAGTCCAGATTTAACCCACCTTACGGCTTATGTAAAGTTACAATAAAAAGATAAAGGTGATGGGTACATTTTTCTTACCAAACTTTTAACAATCGAAATTTCTTTTGATTTGAATTTTCCACACAGTCATTGTTTTTTTTTTGTTTTGTACTTAATACTGTGATTTTTGCTTCCATCATCTCGGCATAGTATTTATAATCTGGAGCTATGAATTGAGGATTACTCCGACACAATTACATTTACCCTGATATGTAACAACACTTTAATACACAGTTAAAGGATTGGCAAGACAGTACTTTTATTCTTCAAGACTGAAAACAAAACGAAAAGTCATAAAGCATTGAAATCTCACTGGACCTAGATGTGTAGGAGTATAAGATCCTAACCTTAAATTAAGAGCAGTCATTCCTATATATATTAAAGATCAATTAATAACTTTCTTTTAATGGAACTATATGTATATTTGTTTTACCAATAGTTAAACTTTAAATATCCCAACAGTAACGAATTGATACTTCACAAACCCTTGATGACCAAAAATTACACTTCCTATAAATAAATTTAGATTTTCAGGGAAAAACGTGAATCTCAAGAAAGCTTTAAAGCAATTATTTATGGCAAGCTTTGCAGAAGCGTTGTACAAGGCGACGAAGTCGGGACGGGATCTTTTTTTTTTTCATGAGTGTAGATTTTTTAATTCACTCAGAACAGTACGCGAACTCATGAAGTATGGCAGTTTTGATTAGAGATGAGTAACATATAAAAGCTTGTTTTCTTTTTGGGGACAAAGAACTGAAATGCAACCAAGTCAGCAAAGTTGTTAAAGAATTTCCAAGTACATTTCACGCATTATGCTCAAGGAAAGTACTACGTTATTGAAAGGAAATTTATGTATTTATAAATGTTTCGTAGACGTTTTAGAGATTTTGATAGAGTTTTAAAGAAAATTGAGAAATGCGCCCGATTTGAGACAGATTTAGTGTTAACCTTAGTCAGCCGATTTTACTAGTGTGAACGGAACCACGATCCAGTCAGTGTTACGTGAATTGCCGTTAACAGTAAACTTATATGGGTTTTCGAATAAAACGTTTCAAGAAACATTTTTTCTGTCTATTGTTTTCTGTTTGTTTGTTCATAACATTAGTTGAAAACATGATCGTGAGACAGCATGTAAGTTATGTAAGCTTAACTCATGCATTTCATTTCTTCTTACACGCATCACTTCTGCGAAGATGTCAGCGAATTTTCGGGTCCAGCAGCTGGTGAATTTTATATCAAAATATGGTTTACTAGTTATTCTAGATAAAT